TGAAGTAGTCTGAGCAATTAGAACAATATCCCTGCAACAATAACATTTTTGGTGCCGGTGTTGGCATGATTTGCAACTACTATCTACCGTCTGCGGCTCTTCAAATTCCTAGCGGCCAAGTTCCCCAGATACCGTTACCGTTGAGAGCGATATTAAGGTAAATTGCTCGTTACGTTAAAAACACGAATGCAAACGTTAATATTTTACGCTTAATTACATAAACAGTTTTGCATCGCAATCAATAACAGCAGAAATTTCAATTTAACAATTGCGTTTTTTAATTTTACAACGTTCTAATCAGCTTATTATTCGAAAAATTTTTTTGTTTTATATATGACCGGACATTCAGGTTGCACTACACGTGTACACATGTCGCACTTATGGTGCGAATTAATTAAATATAGCTAGAGGAGAAAAGGAAGAGAACGCAGTATTTTGCTTTAAAATTAAAATTACTGCGAATGATCGGAAAGAGGACTGGCGGGAAGAGCGTATAAAAAATTAAAATGCGTAAGTGGGTTTTGGGATATACGGGCACCTTAAAGACGAGAGCCATGAGAAATCTCGAAGGAATCAACAAGGAAGCTGAAAATAACATTATAAAAACAATGTGAAATATAAAGATAAAACATGAGTTAAAAAATCAAATAAGAAAGCCATCCGTTTCTGCTACAGGTACAAACAGGACGATGTAATTTTCTCTTTCTTCCGAGAACATTTCTTTAAAAAATGATCGATTGGGAACGTATGCTCAACTTATTTTGTAATTTCTTTTGCGCAAAGAATTGTAAATAAATTAAAGCAAAGTTTGCACAAAATCTAATTTATTTCTAAATTAGTAAATGAGTGGCCGTAAAATTTGCCGTCAGAGTTGGCAGAACTTAGAACTACAGTTAAGGGAAAGTTATTAAATAAGGTTTGGATTATTTAGACTAATGTTATTTTTAACAAATCTGCTCCCATTCCTATGTTCCTTATAAAGTAAAAACTCTAAACAAAAATATAAATTTAAATTATTATGTGGGGTGCTTTATATAAGCAATACCCATCGTAGCATCGAAAACGGGTCTGATTCGGTTAAAATTGGGCTCATAATCCAATTCCCTATAAGCATAAGTTATTATGATACGCATAGACATATTCTTAGATATTTCCTGAAATATGCATAATTTTAGTTTTATATTTCCGAAAAGTTTTCCTACACGAGTTAAGTTTATTCAGCACATTTTGAAAGTATTTTACGAGCACTTTTACATCAATTAAGCAAAAATACGTTGCAATAATTAGAAAGAAGTTTGAATAAAAATTTTTTGTATATAAAGAATAGTGTCGCAACGAATTTGCCATTCGCACTGTGAACGTCTTACGTATTTTAAAGCAGTTGTTAGTCTTTAAAATGAAAGAATTACTCTTAACTTTGTTGTTGATGGCAGCAACACATGGTGTAAGTATGCAGTACGATGAAATGGCCAAGGGAACTATAAGGGTAATAACATTGGATAACAGAGAACCAAAAATACTGGCGCCTCAAGGACCACTCCTAGCGTCTTTTCCTACAACAAGTAATATTATGAAATTCATAGTAAATAATACAGCAACCTCAATGCCAAACGCGTCATCGCTGGCAACATCTGTTGTGACTACACGGCCTAACGAAAGGGAGGCGGAAAACACGCAGAGGAGTACGATATTTCGTAACAGACTACTTAAAATGCCGGCATCAGAAAGACCACTCTTACCTTTTCTGTTTTCAACTCATGATATGATGCAATACATAATACGCGAGGCGGCAATCGCAGCGTCAAGATCGTCATTGATGACAACAACTCCTACAACGCAGATTTCATTTGACGACCAGGAAACGGATACGATGGACAGGGATACGACATCTGACAAAGGACAATTTAAAACAAAAGTACTCCAAAGATCACCTCCACCACCAACTCCAGCACCTTTCTCTGCACTACCTAGCCTAGGTACGAATTCCAGTGAAATGGCAGAGGGAACTACAGGAGCAAGGGCACCAGCAGTAAGAGCGCCATTC